ACTCTTTTGTTTAATATAATTTCACACCAATCAAGTAGACCATATTATTCGTTTATTGTAAGGGTTTTGATTATGAATGACTTGTCAGCAAGGGCCAAATTAAATTTTTCAATGATGTTAGGTGACCATCTTTTCTTACCAATGCAGTGTTGATACATAAAATAATAAATAAAGCATGGTTGAAAATGTGGTCATCATAGTATCATTGTAAATGTTTATGGTATATTACATGTGTGATTAAATTTTGGAAGACAACTCTCACATAGAGTGGAGAATTTTTGGGAGTACCAGATTAAATTTTTTTTTTTTTTTTTTTTTTTGGGGGGTTGGAGGGGGGTGGGGCATTACATAAGGTACAAAAAGAAAATTAAAAATAACACATACAAATGGGATTTTACAAAACATTGGAAGGGCCAGGACCCCCCTCCCTCTGACCAAATATATGATAATGTTGAATTTGTATCACGCAGCAATCCACGCAATGAAATGTTGGACCATGTTATTATTGAAACAACTTCATATCTTATTCATTTAGTCATTTCACATTTTTATTGTGCGGTGGAAGTTTGGAACTTCACATAATCATGTTGGTTTCAAATAAGGGTTTTAATACACAACATTCTAGGTCCTTGGGATGCACAATAGGTTATGTTACATGGAATCTTCTATTTCTCCCAAAGTACTTGTGTCCGCCAGATATGACAACGATATGGGTTTGATGTATGTGTCCAACACTTGTACCAAAAAAGACAAAGGTAAGTGACCAAATCTTGTACTCACATTTGCTGGTAAATAAACATTTTTGGCCTCTCACATGGATAAGATATAGAAATTCTATATTTTTCCTAAAAGCTATTTCAAGCATATTTCTACATAATTTACAAGATTTTATCTAAGAATATCATACAATATGTAATGTTTGTATGTCCATGGCTTATCCCCTTACCCATATCCAGCTTTTGGATACATACTATGAAGCACAGACACTTCAACACAAGTGTCATATCCTTGTCAGACACACGAACATTTCGGCAACACACAAACACAGCGAGGACACATATGGGACACACCACATGGCGTGTCTCCTTATTTAATTAATTTATTTTTAGGAAACACACCGGGGACACACTAAAAACATGCCAAGTTGTCTTTTATCTCATTTTATTTAGTGATTTTGATGAATGTTAAATATTTATTATTTTTTTTTCTTAGATTTAAATACTTAATAGATCATCCATAAAATAAAAATAAAAAAAAGATATAAGTGTTAATATAAAAGTGTTTTTTTTTTAATAAAAAAAATATAGAAATAGAGTTAAATTTTGTTAATATTGATTGTTTGTGGATGTAATATTAATCTAGATATAACAAATAAAAATACATGAAAACATATTTTATTATTGTGTCCCCGCCATGTCAGTGTCTCCATTTTTTTGAAATTGCCATGTCCCGTATCCGCATATGTGTCTATGTCCGCATCCATATCCATATCTGTATCCGCATCCATACCCGTATCTATATCCGTATCCATAATTCTTAGAATACATATCTCAATATTCTAAGATTTAGGTTGATGAAGATCTAACGTTTGAATACTCACCTGCACCCAATAGTCGTACCCAATTCCATGTAACATAAGCAATAAGTATTTCTACGTGCTATCTACTTGAGACTTTCTCCTATCGCCAACTAGTCTTTCTGAGTTTGGCCTCAATATATAAAGGTTTGACATTAAGCTGAGATACAATTGTACAATGATGACATACTTCAAACCCAAGGTTAACCTCATATAAAAGTGATATGCATCGTTGATTCAAGTTCACATCCAAGTTTTTCTTATTGTCATAGTTTCGTGAATTTACAAAACATTTTCAAAGTTTCACAAATAAAAATAAGCTTATTGTCGGTACTAAGTCGTGTCATGATAGGGAACTTGCCATGCCTCTAACAAAACCAATTTATTAATCCAAAGTTGGTGAAAAGGGTCAAGCACATATTGAATGGAATTAAAAATCGTAGTAGAGAGCCCAATCCAGCCCAATGGTAAGTAAGCAAATTTATTATGAAGAAAGTGAGTCCAGTTATCTTGATTTCTCTAGGTAAGAATTTCACTAATTGAACATGAAAATGGAATCTTGCCTCTTCTTCACCCAAAGAGTTACAAGAAGAACAAATTTATGGAATGAATTTTTTTGCTAAGTAAACGGAATGGGTGTCTAATGGCAATTTCATCAATAAGAAGCTATCCTACACACTTCACACAATTTGTGACAAAATACTTTTTGGGTAAAGTTAGCCACAATAATATTCTTACCACAAAAAATGGTATCACTTAGTTTAATCTTATTCCACCAAGGGGAAAGAAGCAATTCTTGAAGGTGCTACTTGACATTCAGCTGGAAAGTTACTTCTGTTATTGTCATAAGCTTAACAGCAAGGAGCTGACCTTTTCCAATGGAAAATAAGCTTAGATTGATGAAGGATAATTACATAACATTCTAATTGGGTTAAGCTCTTTAATGCGCTTTTCGAAGACTAATTTCAATGGAAACATTCTAACAAGTACTAGAACCCACATGGATAGTTCCAAGCTTTATATCTTTATCTCTCTATGTTAGAAGTTCCCCATTGGATACTTTATGTTGGTCATGCATATAATTTAAATAGTTTAGATATGCTCAAGATAATGTTAGGATGCATAACCAACATTTTATTTCATCAAGGGATTTACTACCAGGTCATGTTGGAAAGGGTACTAGAAATGTCGTCAAAATGTTTGAGAAATGTTGTCAAAGTATGTGAAATTATGAAATTGTAACTTTAAAAAATATTCAAGAAGTATCAAAAGACATTTGTAGGAGTATCCCAGTAAGTGTCAATATCTGAAACGTGTCCGTGTCCGTGTTGGATACGGCTTCACCCTAGAAGTGTCTGTGTTGCTTAGTCGGGAAACAATTATTTCACCCAGGTAGATAAAAAAAAATTGCAATTTTTGCAAGGTATTATGTCCATGAGACCAGCGCTTGGAGGAAGAAAGTGTGCAAGAAAGTGTAGGGATTGAAAATCTAATGAAAGCTCCAAAGAAAATCTGATAAGGATGGGCAGAACTCAAAAAGGAAAAGCAAGAAAAAAAAAAATGTGTGCAAGAAAGGGTAAGGGTTGAAAATCTAATGAAAGTTCCAAAGAAATTCTGATGAGGGTGGGTAGAACTCAAAAGAAAGGGGGGGGGAAAAATGAATGCAAGAAAGGGTGGTAGGGGTTGAAAATCTAATGAAAGTTCCAAAGAAAATCTGATGAGTATGGGCAGAAGTCAAAAGAAAAAAGAAGAAAATAAACAAAATTTTCTTGAGTGTCCATTTTAGTACAGCTCTGAAGAGTCATAATATATTAAAAATTCTAGACTTGTGGGTTCAAAAGAAAATGGATATCTACCAAGAGCACTTCTTCTCTACTGCACAGTGTTAGAATTTACCATAAACCTACCACCACTACCACCTCACCTACTCCACTAAACCTAACCCACTACACCACTACCACCTCCACTTCACCTACTCTCCACCACTCACTCCTCACCTACTCCAGAATCATCTCCTATATAATAGGCATTCTTGTACAAAATATATACACAACAATCTTGTAATCAATCAATCAATAATACATTTATTTTTACATTACATCAAAAAAAAAAAAAAAACACACATCTCATGGCTTTTCTTTTCTAGAAATTTCAAGAGGCTGTGAGAATTCTTGCAAAAAGTCCCACATTTGCTAGAAATCCAAGGCACATTCAATTTGAGGCTGATATAAATCGCCTCTTTCTTTACACCAGCTATAATTGTTAGGAAGGAATGCTGATGAATCAGATGCAGCGGCGATCTCGGAGAGGGTGATGAGGTGGAGAGATAAACATGAGGAGCTCCGGTGATGTAGAGTACGAGGAAGACTTGGAAGAGGATGACGAGGAAGAAGAATGTGCGGTGGCGTAGGGAAATGTTGGATAGGGCAGAGTTGAATGTGGGTTTGAGTTCTGGGGTGGTTTGAGTTGGTTGAGATCCGGCGGGCGGTCAAGGCAAGGTTGCCGCCCGCCGGAAGGCGAAGAACACCAAGATTTTTAACCTTGCTCTGATACCATGTAAAAATAAATGTGGATATCTACCAAGAGCACTTCTTCTCTACTGCACAGTTTTTCAGTCTTGAACAGCTCTGCAAGGCCCCTTATGGTTCTACTTGTCATTATGTGGCTCCAAGTACGAGGTTCTTTTCTTATTCATGTTGTATTTTATTTTTTTTATTTTTTTATTTTTTGATAAACAAATATTGTGACGTTTGTTGCCCTCACAAGCTTCACATTTTTGTTGCCTATCCTCTAAATATGGAGAGGTGTGTTTCTTGGTTTACATTTCAACCTGTTAGAAATTTAAACTTAACCCCCCAAAAAACAAAAATTAACAAAAATAAGTAAATAAAATTGAAATAGCTCCCTTCTACAATTAAAAATTCAATGCACCTTAGCATTCAATGAGTGTTCCTAAATAATCTCACTTATCATTTATTCAACTATTTCATTTTACCAAGTTCAATGTTAGCCAGATTAGTCAAAATTTATAGATTTCGATGAAGCATGACATTATTTGTAACAAGTAGTTTTGTTGGTGGGTGAATTAGATACAATTTATTCATGATATGGGTTGTATTGTTGTTAATCTGAATTCAGCAAATCAATCTATTAATCCCCAAAACCTGTCCCAGTTTTGTAACAAACAATATATTTTGAGTCAAACTTTAACACTCACACAAAGCCATCACCCAGCACTATCCATCAACATGGTTGCTCAAAGGTGTGCATTGGGCAAAGATGCATACTGAATATCAACATTGTCAACACAAAGACAGATGTCACAATAATAGCAAGCATATTCCAAAATTCAGTAACTAAGACCTAAATTCAATTCAAAAAAATAAAATAAAATAAAATAAAAATAAAAATAATTTTACACTACCTTCCATCAAAGAAGCCAAGGCAACTGTAAGTGGCAAGCTTTCAACCCATTCTTCACCCAACAAAGATTCAAATTCCTCCTCAGTCTTTCGAAGAAAACTTTGAAAGCAAGAACAGCTAGCCAGAGCCTGTAAGAAAATCCACAATAATCAAAAGTTGAAACAACATATAACTCATTGAAACTACCACATATGAGAGAAATAACAGAAACCCAGTTGATTAAAATTTGTTATACCTGTAAAATCACATTTAGGAAGCAATTGTTGCCAAGATTTTGCAATCCTGGTACCATCCACTTGTTCTCCAAAGAAGTATCTCTATCAGAGGACCAGGGTAAGCAATTAAAATTCCTAATTTTACCATCTCTCACAGCCAAGACCAAACCAGCAACACCCAATAAACTAGCCACTGATATGTGAAACCCAGAAGCTGAAACCCACTTCACATTGGACAAAGTTCTAAACCCATATTTGAATTTGTGAATTAATGCGATAATATCCAAGTTGCCTTCAATTTTCATTGTGATTGGGATCAAAGTGAAGTGATGCTCTTCAACCACCAAAGGACTGAAATATAAGACCTAATATATACCCAAAAAAAGATACATATGAGCACATGACAACGTAGAGATTATATGATCGTATGCGTGTAATAATAAGACTGGGTTCTAACAGTGTTGAAGGGCAAAAAGAGCTGCAAAACTTACGGGAGAAAGGTCAGGGTTCCTCAACAACAACAACAACAACAAAAGCGAATAATGGGTTTAACTTAGGCGAAAAGCGGTGGAGTTGAGTTGTGTTGTGTTGTGTTGTGTTCTGCTCAATTGAACAGAAGGCGCGCTTGGAATCTGGTTCCCGCAAACCCCATATGGCGATGTGTTAGGGATCTTCAACTTCAGTCAAAATCAAACTCGAACTCAAACTCAAACTAGACCATCTCCAACCCATCAAGAAAAATGCTTGGGAGCACTAATTAGTGCTCCCACTAATTAGGTGGCAGTGGGTCTTGCCATTATTGATGTGATGTTTTGGTTTTGGAGTTGCATTTTTTTTATTTTTTTTTACTTTTTTAATGCATTAGTGCTATTAGTGGTAATGTTTTTAGTGGGATGAATCATTGTTGAACCCATCAAATTGAAATTTGGAAAAAAATTGGTGAACATGGTATTTCAGCCTCTCATCAAACTAGTATCAACTGAAAAGGGTTTTTTTTGTTATTATTATTAATTAAGGAAGGTTTTACGGTGTTTTAGAAAGATAGATAACAATTAATTTTTTTTTACTTTTGAATTTTTTTTTTTTTTTTTTTTTTTTTTTTTGGGAGAGAGGTGATACGACTCAAAATAAATTAAAAATTGATCTTTGACTTTTTATTCATGTTCCCAAATAGCCCCTAAATCTTACAAATAATTATTAATGAATGATCAGATTGATGACCAGTCAATCAATTGAGTGAATGATCGGATTGGGAAAAATTTGAATAAAATTTATACTAGGCCTAACAACCAACCGGTCATCCTCTCTATGGACCAATTGTTTGATGAAAATTGAAAATTTAACATTAAAACGCTTGCCAGTGGATGAAGTTTTTAACTCAATTTTTTACTAAAATTTAATTATAAAAAATTTAAAAAAATAAGAAAAGTAAGCATTAGATATGCTCTAAGGTAATTTCCCAACAAGTTAAATAACCTACTTATTGGTTTATTGTCTTATTTTTCTTATATGTTCCACAACGAACGGGATTTTTCCAGCTTCATTCCAACAATCCAAACCATTTACTTTTTAAAACAAATCGAGTAAAATATATTTACAAAAACTTAAGTTACTTAGATATCGATATCTGTTCATCAAGACGTATTGGTATCTAAAAAATTACTTGCAAAAATTTAAGTCAATCGAATATCAGTATCCATTTCATCAAGTCATGTTTGTATTCAAATTTCTATTTAAAATTAAATTTACTATTTAATTTTTGAGATACAAATATGTCTTGATGAAAGGGATACTGAGATCTGATTAATTTGAATTTTTACAGGTATATTCTACTCGATATTTTTTAAAAAGTGAAATGTTCAGATCGCTGAATCAAACCCGAAAAAGGCTCCATTAGTTGCGCAATAGTGGCTACTGCGCAACAGCCTCCCCATCCCTTCTTCATAATAAGTATAAAAAAATAAAATGGGTTAATTCGTGAAAAGTCCAATTTAAAGAGGGTGTCAGACATTAGGTCCGCTAAGGTTTTTTTTTTTTTCTTTTTTTTGTGAGAATTATACACTTATGTGAAAATATTGTGGTGAGAAGTATGTTTTGTTATTTTATAGGATATTTTGTTTCTAATTTTGCCCTTTTCATTTTTATTAACACCTATCTATTTTAAATTTCTATCTGTTTGAAATTCCATTTGTGAGAAATTTCTTTTATGTTCAAATTTTATTTTTCCCATTTTTTTCTATTTGTTCGAAACTAAGTCCTTCAACATCACAAATTCTCAAAAATCATAATCAAAGAAATTTTGGCCAAACATCACTTTCTCTCTCTTGTTCTTTCTTTCGTTTCCTACATTTTCTTATCAACCAAACAATACCTGATGTACAAAGAAAAATTACGAGAGAGAGAGAGAGAAATAGACAAATCTACGAATAGAAGAAGTCTTAAAAATAGGGGAAGACGTGGTGGTATAGCGTTTTTGAGGTTATCTTTCTTTGTGGCCCGGTGGAGCTCCATCACTGGTGAAGGCGAGTACCAAACAAGCTCATTGTCTTATTCTATTTTGCTATTACCAATCGAATTGGTCAATCTGTTCAGATCTCTCTTTAAATCTCTCTAAAGTAGAGTTGTTGGCGGTGGTGGAGATATGGGTTTCAACGAAGCTAGTGACCTTGGTAACAAAGACGATGAGAAGGAGTCGAGACGACAGTGATAGAACCACGGGAAGCCATGCTAACGACAAGGAGCAATAGCGATCACCGTCGTGTTGCAGAGGTTGTTGGCGACGACGAACTCAAATTCATGGTAAGGGATTATGTAACAACCCGACCTATGATTAACGTTAATCCATGCTTAATTATGCCTAATAAATAATTTAAGTAAAATGTTGCATCATATGTTGCCTTATATGTGTTTATATTTGTTTAACATAGAAAGATTTGTTCATGTTTCCGTTTCGATTTGCGAATTGAAGGCCTTATCAACATCCGATTCTGAAATTAACTTGATTTATGTGTTATTTGGAATTTTTAGAATTTTTTGGTAGGTTTAATTGAAATTCGATTCAGAACGATTAAATTAGATTAATTTAATACCCATTTGATTAGCTTTAATGAACAACCATTAGGTAAGCCTATATAAGGCCACCCCCATCATCTTTTTTATACTTTACACTCTCATTCACTCATATCTTTGAACTCAAACGTATAGGAGAGAGAGAGAGGGAGAGAGAGAGAGAGAGAGAGAAAGAGAGAAAGAGGGAGAAGGAATTGAGATTAAGAGCTTAAAAAGAAAGATTTGCTAGGAATTGTTGAAGAATACGAGTGAATTTGGAGATTGAAGCTTTTACACTTATGAATCTAACACTGTAAGTAAGAATTCTAGTCTTTGGCCTTGTAAAGTAATTGATTAATGCATGGAAACAAGTGATTTAGGTGAATTCATATGGGAATTGAGCTAGAATTGAAGAATGTTAAATCATTCTATACATGCATGCATATATCATAATATCTTGAGTTTGAAATCAAAGAATTACCACATGCATGTGTCTGTCTTGACTTGGTGTTGAAAATTCATTACATTTCTTACTATTTGACTTTAATTAATCATGTTTTGAAAAGCCTTAGTTCAAGAAATTTACATGCATGTCATATCTATATTATGTTTTCATAATGAAAGTTTGAGTTTGCTCAATTGTCAAGCTTAAGGGCCTTGATTTCATGAAATGATCCTTAATTCTTAATATTTTTCAATTTTAGACATGTTTTCTTGAGTTTTGGCCCAAAAGAATAAGATTTGTGGTTTTGAAGTTGAGTTTTGAGCTTGGGAGCGAATCTGGAAGTTCTAGAATTCTGCTCTTATGCTCGAGCGACCGCTCTGCGTGTGTGCACTTCTGCTCGAGCGTAAAATGCATGCTCCCAAAAGTTCTTATGTTTTGCAGGCCGCTCGAGCGACAAAAGTTGTGCTCGAGTGAGGGCATGTCTCTCACGCTCGAGCGAGCGTCGAGCAAGCATCAAGCGAAAAAATCAAGCAACCAGTACTTTGGCAAAAATTTACAGACCGCTCGAGCGATAGATCTTGCGCTCGAGCGACCACTCACATTTTGCATGTTCGCTTGAGCGTAAGAAGTTACGCTCGAGCGAGGATCCTGTTTTCAGCAAGTTTTGTTAAGTATTTTCAAGTGCATTTTTTCATCCTTATTCCATCCTAGGCATACCTAGGCCAAGTTTAAGACACCATAATGAGGATAGAGGAGTAGGAGCACACCAAGACAAGAAAGAACTAAGTTAATGATTTCGGGTGTGTAATTTAGTACGTATTCATTCTGTATCTGTATAGGTCACGCGCCATAAGATATCTGAATTGCCTATTCTATTCATTTACTTGGAGCCATCTGTTATCTGTGAGTAATAACTTTTTCTTTCTTTTTTTTTTGATAAATAACCAAATTTTATTAAAATAACATCAACAAGATGCAAAGAATACAAAGACGGCCTCAAGAGCCAAACGAAACTAACAAATCAAATTCTCCACAAAATCTGTAAATAAAAGCCAACACATCTGGATCTACTAATCCTGTCACTTAACTATACAAAACAGTAAGAAGGCGCCTCTCTAACCAAGTGATGGAATGAGCCACCCCATGAAACACCCGCCTATTACGCTCTAGCCAAATCAGCCATAGTAAACAGTGCAAGGCAAGAATCCAAGCCTTTCGATGCCTCTTCCCCATCCTCCCTCCGACCTAACTCTGTAAAACTGCAAATAAAGAACCCGGTTGAACCCAAACCATCCCAAAAATTGCCACCACAACCATCCAAAGACGAAAAGAGACCGAACAATGAATAAGCAAATGATCAACCGATTCTACTGCTTGACTGCACAAGTAGCACCAATTCACCAAAATATGCCCACGGCGAATCAAATTATCAAGGGTCAAGATACAACCCAAACTCGCCGTCCATACAAAGAAGGCAACCTGGGATGGCGTACCCGGCACCCAAACACTCTTCCATGGATAAACCAAGGTGCCATTAACAACACACTTATCCTCAACAAGTGCCCATAGAACGAGAACACCATGAAAATACCTTTGGCCCTAGGACAATCCCAAACCAATGCATCATTATCTGTCTATCCAAGATGTAAACCATATAAAAAACCAAGGAGGTCCACTAATTGATAATCTTGGACATCACGACATAACTACACGTTCGATACCCTCAACTGCCCGTCCCCAACCCTCACAGCATTCACCAACACCTCAGAATTCGCAGCAATAGCAAAAGTCAAAGGAAAACAAAACTCTAAAGACAAGTCTCCACACCACCTATCCCGCCAAAATCAAACTCTATCCCCCACACCAATTTTTAACCTCACTCGCTGCCAAAACGCCTCCCTACCCAGCCAAATCCCTTTCCATAACCCACAACCATAAGAATGACCCACCCGCCCTGAGCACCACACCCCCTATCCACACCAAACTTAGCAACCACCACCTGCCTCCAAAGCCGCTCCCTCTCCTCCACAAAACGCCACAGCCACTTCGCTAACAAGGCCAAATTAAACAAGACCAACCTCCGAACCCCCAATCCCCCTTGCTCCTTAGACATACAAATCCGATCCCAAGACACCAAATGATAATGACCACCCTCACCCCCATCACCCCACAAAAAGTCCCTCTGCAATTGCTCAATCCGCCTTGCTACAGAGACCGGAATCACATGAACAGACA